TTATGTAATTGCAGTAGTAATTTCATGATCTTAATAAAGTACTAGCATGACTGCCTATATTAAAAAAAAAAAAAAAATAAGTATTATAAGTAGTATATAATACTTTGTAGATTTATCTGTAAATTAGGAGTGATGTTAAACAAATTTGTATAAATTTAGAAAGAATACAAATTTGTAATTGAGTTATATTAAAAATAGATTATGTAATATGAATTAGTAATTCTATTTGGGCAGGTTTGAACAGAAGTAGGCTACAGAAAACTTTTTAAAAATTAAAAATTAAAAAATTAAAAAAATTTAAGAATTTTTGCAAGAGAGTTTCAAGTATTTTATTAATAAATCAGTTAAATTTGGTCCAAATTTGATAAATAATATATCAAAATAAAACTATTAATAAGTTCTCTCTGTTTGTTCTAATGAGCAAAAACAGTTTATTTAATAAATTTCTATGATAAAGTAAATAGAAGAGTTTTAGTATTTAATTATTATATTTCTGTAAATAAAGAACTTAGAGATATAAAACTTGACAGTCTAAGTGTAAAATTATTCTAGAAACAACTTTACTTAGATACCCAGAAGTAGTTTATTTAATAAAATAGTAAGTTATAATCAGTTTGTGCTGTAGAAAATTAGTACAAATGATTGTCAAAAAGAGTTAATAATTTGTGTCCAAGCATTTAAAATTTTTTTTAATAATCTTTAATATAATACAATTAATATAATAATATATAAGTAACAAGCATTTTTATAAATTTTTAAGTAGAAGTATGGCAACCTAGTAAAGTGGTCAGGTTGTCAACCCCCCAAATAGTAGGTTAGGTGTTCAAATCCTATCAATAGCAAAAATTTGGATAATTACCTATGTAATATTCATATTATAGTAACTGTTACTAATGATTGGGTTAGAATATCTGTAATAGTAGTTGCATCAGCATAACTGGCAGGTCATGGGGCATCTGTATAAGTATGGCATTATATAGAAAAATGCAAACCAACAAATCAGGTAATGCAAACACTAGATAAGTCCTTGTGGCTATATAAATCTGTTGAAATTGGATAACAAGAAGTTCATTTGAAAAAACCTGAGTAGAGAGGTAGTTGGATCTTTGATGGCCCTACTGTAAAGGCTAGCCTAGAGAAACAGATACCAAGATTATAAACCTGGTCGTAGTAGCCAGATAGGCAAGAACCTCCAGGTTGGGAGTTTCGAAGGTATTACCAACCAGGCCATCAAAATAAACTGAAAGAAAAGAATATTGGGCTAATCTGATATACCAATAGACTAGTTATAATTCTATATAGGCTATCTGGATTGGAAGTTTGGTAAAAAGGCAGGTAAAAAAACATTAATATACTAAAGTACTGGAGTTATGCTGTGAAGTAGATGCTGGAGTCTAAATGAACTCTACAAGGACATAGCAATTTAATAATTAGCTCTGTCCACAAGTATTAGTTCTGCTATAGCAATATCTAGGTTAACTGTAAAAATGACTACAGAAGGCTCTAAGGGGTTTACCTTGAGGATAAATTAGTTCTAAGGTTGAGATGATGATCTGAACATCTGGGTATGACCTAGTGAGTTAATACAGGTTACAGATTCAGAGGGTTTAAAATGGAACATCCAAGCAAGAGTGTTAGATACAGCAATTGGTAAGGAACTTTTGGGTGAACTCCTTAAATAGGTAATATAAAAAAGTTACACATATAGCCAATTGTACTCTTTTCTGTAATAGTTCATTGAACTACAATACTGATAAATGATTAATAAACCAAAGAGATCATTTTAAAAAAAATAAAATAAAATAAAATAAATTTTTAAGTTTAAATATATATTAACAATAAAATTATTTTTTTATATAATATAAATATTTTTTGTTTTTAATAAAACTAATGTTAATAATAACTACTGTTTTTATTTTATTTTTAATTATATTTATATAACTTTTATAAAATAAGTATATAACTAGTTACATATACAACAATTAGTTATCTATTTAAGTAGTCTATTTGTAGGTTCTTTGCTAGTTATTATATTCATAATTGCTAGATGATTACTTAATTAAATACTTTTATCTTTATATTATATTTAACAGATAGTGCACTAGTTTTTGTATATTTAAGTTATATTTAATCTAATAATTAACCTTTTTTTTGTATAACTATTAAGCTGTTACTTACTTCAAAGCATATCATCTAACTATAAAACTTAGAATGCTTCTTTGTTAACTAATTTACTTATTTTATAAACTATTAACAGAGTTATATTCTTGCAGAGTTCATTTAAATCTTAGTATTAACTTTATAGTATATTTTTAATACTTTAGTATACTTATACTTTTGTCTTCAAACATTCAATCCAAATAATTTAATAGAATTGTAATCTGTTTTTAATATATCAAGTTTGATCTAATATTTTTTTTAATTTGAATTTTAGTAATTTAATTAGTAATATTTTTACTTAGAGGTTTTTGTTTATCTGATTTTTCTATATTGGTATCTATTTTTTAGATCTAGTCTTTATAATAATATTATCACAAATCTATGTTATTTTTTTATTTAGATTTTTTTAAATAGGTTTTGATTTTTTTTAGTTTTATGAATTTATATAATTACAAGAACTTATTTTTTAATTTGCACTACTTAATACCAATTTGTATCCTTTCATATAACTAAGAATACACAAATACTCTATAACTTGTTAGTCATACAAGTATAATTATAGTTACAGATAGGTATTTTGTTCTAACTAATTAACAAAATACTATTGCTATAATATAAATATTATATAAATAATTGATCAAATTTTTAATGTTAATGGATTTTGAACTTACAACCTACTACTTTAAAGATTGGCAATGTATCTACTTTACTAAGTTGCCACACTTTCTTTAATATAAATATTGAAAAACTAATAATAAAGTTTATTATTATTTACAAATAAATTCTTCAAGAATTTTTGTGCTCAAAAAAATTAACATGTTTTGACTTTTTTATTATTATAAAAATATTTGCTAATATCAAAATTGACTTGAATGTTTTTATAAAAAAATTATTATATTTTTATCTTTAAAACTAATTATAATTTTCTATCTTTAAATTTAATTTATATTTTTTTTAAAAAAAATTAAACTGATTTTATTTTCTTTTAGAACCAATAATATGTTTTTTCTTCAAAACCAATTAAATTTTTTTATTTTTAAACCTAATTTAATTATTTTTTTTCTTTAGAGTTGACCTAACAATTTTTTTCTTCAGAATTAATACAAGTCTTTACTAGCATTTTACTCTCTTCAAACTGACCTATACCTTTGTTAATGTTTTTTTTTCTAGATCTAAAACTGATGCTCTTTCAAAAAACCATCACTAATATTCTTTCTTTAAAGCTATCTGTTTGTATTTTAAAATGAAAAGACAAAATAATGTTATTGAGTAATGTTGCTCAGAACCAATTTGGTTCTTTAAGTTCCTTGCTAAGTGCCATAATAACCTTAAAAAATTTTTTTATTTAAATCAGAATTTTTACCAATCTTGATTGGCTTAAGATTATGTAATTCTAACGAACCCATAAAAATTTGAATTTACAAATATTCAATTTACATAGGCAAATTTGAATCCAATTTTTCAGGATAAGAGTGTTCATATAATGATAAAATCAAACCCAGAATGCTAATTTTGTATAAAAATTCTGAACCTACTTAAATAACCACTGATGCTATATGACTAATCCTTCACCCGAGTGTGTAACATATAAAAAAATTATTTTACACAATATCAGATTGATGTACTAGTGTATTGTAAAATAATTTTTTTATATATTGCATACCGGATGAAGAATTAATCATCAATTATATGAACTAAGAGTTAATTTTTAATAGGAGTATTAAAAGTTCGGTCCTATCAGTCCTAACTTCACAAATAGGGACTTTAATTGGGACTTGGTCCTTGAGTCAGTTCTTGCACTGAGTCTGCATATAATAATGTGATTACTACTAGTAATACCATCACTATATAGATAATGATAATAGTAATTTATATCTTGAATCTTTATTATACTTTTTTACTGCTATTGCTAAAAAAATACATACATATACTGTAAAATGATTTTATTCTACATTTATTTTTAGGATTCCAGCCCCAGACCAACTCTTCATACATAAAGAGGCTCTTGTTGATTCTTCAAGAAGTCTGCTTCTCTCAAGATTTAATATATGTTTGGCCACAGAAAATGCACGTTCACAGTGAACACTTATAGCTTGCAGTGCAAAATAATTAGCTGCCATTAAAGCTACATTTGGAAAGTGGTGGGCTTTTGTTTTCTACCACTACAGTGGATTAGTGCTCAGTTCTGAAGGTAGCGAAAGATAAGTAGATAGTTCATTTGTTGTAATCTTATTTTCATTTGATCTTCCTAGATTCTGAAAATACTCTAAAGGATCTTGTTTAGGCTCTATTTCTTCTTTATTTATGTGGTGAAGAGAATAAAAATTTTTTAGACTTTCAATAGCCAACTGACATTCTTCTTCAGTAAAAGTTTCGAACTTAATAGATAGATCAAGGAGAGTTGGAATAGCTAAAGATTGTGAGAGATAAGTTCAGTATTTTTTTATTTTATTTTTTGTTTCTTGAGCTGCATCACGATATATACTTATATTTGTTTTTTTAATATAGTAGTCAAGATGTATTAGAAGTCCTTGAAAAATTATTTGTAATGAACTGTGCAAAGATAATAAAGTTTTGGATAATTCTAGTGTTGCTTTGTAAAAAGGTTCAAGAAACTAAATGATTTCCTTAACTATTATCCAATCTTTAACTTCTAAATAGTCTTCTTTTAAAGTAAGATAAAGTCTTACAAGGTGATCTATAATATCTTGAATTTCAATGAATCATTTCATCATGAGATAAGTAGAGTTCTATCGTGTTTCAACATCGAGCTCAGGGCAGAGGAATTGATGATTATAAATAGCAAAAATTCTTTTTATCTCATTCACAAGCAAAAGGGAATTCTTAATCTTATTACAGATACATCGTATCTTTTTTATCTGTTTGTCATAACATTTTTGGCCATCTTTGACTGCAAGGTTCAAAATATGTGCAGCGCACTATATATATGTGAAATTTGAGCTAATATGATTCTTAAGATAACTTAAACATGTTTAGTTATTAGAAACATTATCTTCAGTGAACCCCTATTACAAAATAGATTAATATTAAAATATTAAAGTTTTTATATATAATATAGTACTTACTATTATTTTATTTTTTATCTCTAGATCTTCTATGATCTCAAGTATTTTTTCACCGAGATACGTGCCAGTATAAAAGTTATGCAAGGATATAAAATCAAGGAGAAGGGTTTTCATTACCCACTCTGCATCGACCTAATGAATAGTAATATCAAGGAATTGTTGTTTATTACATGCCATCCAAACATCAATGATAAGTGCTTGTTTGCTATGATTTGATTTTAATATATGTTTTATCTCTATTTTCATAGATTTAAACTTATTTTTAAGAGTTGTAGAAACTGTTTAATAACATGGAAGCTTGTATCGTGAATCAAGATTTGTAACAAATTTAATAAAAGGATCTTCATCAACTATCAAGAAGCCAAGTTGATTTTTAATTATTAATTGATATAGATCATAATTTAAAGATTTTATGCGATCTCTGCTAACTTTATCAGTCATTGAATATGTAGAATGGGTAACTTTCGCATTTTTTCATTTAAAATCTTTATAAAGACTTAAATGCTTGTTTTTGAAATAACGTGATATTGTTGACAAAGATATACCTGGACCCCATTGACTGGGGTTCTTAATGTCGGAGATGTTAGAACATATTTCACAAACACAGGTTCTATCATCAAGTACCTCTAGATAATCATGAATGGGTGATGATCTTTTTTTTGAATTGTTTTTAATAACATTATCGATAAGATCATTTTCTAAGTAACTTTCATGAAGGTTTTCTTTTGGAAAATCCAAAATTGAAGAAACAGAATCAGAAATTTCTGAAAAAACAGGATCGAGAACTTCTAAAGACATAGGATTAGATATTGGAAAAGTAGAATTGAGAGTTAAAAAAGCGAGTAAGTTGAAGTCAGACATTGGAAAGATTTATAAGGAACAAAATTTGATGTATGTGTTTTTAAAAAAAAATGAAATAAAATTGTCATGAAAAAAAATTTGACTTTTTATTTCTGATCTGAATTATTGTTCAAATAACATAATATGACATTTTAGTGTATAATTTATTTAATTAATATAAGACAATTGTGTAAATTTAATTAATATAAGACTATTGCGTAATAATTTAATTAATATGAGACAATTGCACGATAATTTAATTAATATAAAACAATTGCATAATAATTTAATTAATATAAGACAATTGCATGATGTATAATTTAATATAAGACAATTGCGCGATGTATAATTTAATTAACACGGATTTTTGATAGTTGTAATAATATCCTGATCAATTGGGAATTAGCGGAAACGAAGTTGACGCTTATTCACATATGGATCAGCGTTAATCCTCTGTGATCCTGATATAGTGATCGAGATTAATTGTGTAATAAAAAAATCGCAATTGTTGATCATAAAAAATAAGAACAAGTGCATTTGGAACCTTACTATTTTTTATTTAACAAACACATGCTAATAATGATATGGGTCAGTATACAGAAAACAAGGTTTAGAGACATTTTGATCAAGGTTGAGATTTTTACCGAATCATATTTCTAAATATGTGATTTATTCATGTATAGTAAATTTTTTAGCTCGCATTAGCATAATAAACTTTGTAGAATTTTATATGCAGTATTTTTTTTATCTATATATTATATTTAAAATTTAATTGATTAAATATTGATATCTACAAATAAAAAATTCGTCCTGAAGCCCCTTCTTGCTGTGTACTGACCCATATGTTTTATTAACAATTTATTTTGAACCCGATGGCATACTTTCAATTATCTAGGTAATTTTTTTGTACAAGCACAGTACATTTGTTATAATAAATTAGATCATTTACAAGCTATCGCGATTGTTAATCATATTGCATTTGTGATCCTATTTTTTTATTTAAAGAACACATGCTATTAATGATATCTTTTATAAGCGAAGTTCATAACAATTTCTGAATTCGATGGCAACCTTTCATGTTAATACCAGTTTATTAAATAATGGTGTCAATTAGCAAATCACATGGAATAAATGACATGCACCCCCTGCATTTGGGACTCGGTCCGAAACCGACTTGAGTCGGTCCCAAAAAGTCCGTGTGAAGTCGACTCAAGGACCGGGTCCGTCAAGCTTTTTAACACCCCTAACCTTTAATAAAGCTTGTGATGATCGAAATTGCTACGTATTACGCAGAACATAATACAGATATATAATAAATAAAAGTAAAGCTTTAAAAATAATAAATTTTAATCAGCATAAATCAGCCAGTCGCTCTGGTGTCTGAGTATTTCATAAAGTTTAGGTATTTCGTTTTGATTGCAAGCTAGAAAAATTACAGTATACACGTCCCTCTTTTATGGTGCAGATCGGGATTTTGAAAAACTACACATATTTTTACAGTTTAACCCGGTTATTTTACGGAGATATAATAAAAAGAGATTTCTAGGTGCAAAGATTTCGTTGCGGTTTTTAGGAAATCGATTGATTTAAGTTTTGTTGCCAACTTTTCGATTAATCGATTTCGATAGGCAGAGGCATCAATTATTAGGGTGACATAAGGCAGGTAACATAGTGAAAGATTTCTATAAATTAACTTAGAGAACTGTTAATATTATCCCCTACATAACCCTGTTGTTTATAGTTTTCGGAAGGATTAAAGGTCAATTAGAGTTATATAGAGGGTGGCATTAACAGGTCTCTTAGCTTATTTAAAGTGACAGTTCTTAATATTCCTTTATGTATATGTAACACTCTGCATAAATTCCCCAAGCTTCTATTTGAGCTGGTGTACCTAAGATTACAGATGCATTAATACAAAATCAATTAGAACCGAGAAAATTAAAAGACTTTATCACGTTAAGAAATACAGTCTGACCTAGGGAATCTGACATGGCACCCGTTGGCATGCCAGAAAGTCAAAATAAAAAACTTAATACAAAGTGGCACAGGCATGCCAAATAATTTGTGTTCCAGGTTCCACTCAATATAATCACACAAATTATAAAAAAAATTCATTTTTTGTTTAAACCAAATAAATAAACTTCCGTATAGACACTATCACTTTAATCACACGAATTTTGGTTAATTCTATCAATGTTAGGCTATGTACGTATTAAAAGAGAGGAATTGCTTATCGACACAGAAATGACGCACTAACTTTAACGACACAAATTGGCCAGCACTATAGTTAAGATAGTGTTAGTGTTAGAATATGGTAGAATTAAGCATTAGTTCACGTGTTTTGCTATGCTGGTAACATTTCCCTAAAAGAAATCAAATATGTAAATGTAATTTTATTTGTGTAGATTTACTACGTATATAGTTCGAAGATATAGTTAATTTAAATTTATAAAAATCTTTACGTAACTTATCGTTATCGTTATATACCAATCCAGTCGACTTTGTGTTCGCGAGATACAGATACACGTGATTATGTGTGGGTTTTATTGGCTAAACCATGGCGAAAAAAACAACTCTTCTAGTGAGGAAACTACAGGAATACTGGAAATTTTCGGACATCCAGTGAGATTCCAATTTCCAGTTAACAACACTGACCTAATATATCAATTTATTTAACAATCCTATTTAGTCGCTAAATTACTCTTAGGTTATTAATTTGAAAATGAACCGAAATTTTAATAATTTATAGCATTGATTCAATAAATACGACCAGTTTTTGAGTTTGATACTATTAACCGAAAATGGGTCACATATTTTGGTTTTGATAATTATCCAAAATAATGTGGAAATTCCGATTCTCAAACCCAAACTACGTAATAATGTCATATTCAATAAAAAGTTTGGTCGCAACCCTAGTATTATTGTATTGTCAAATTAACGCCTGGTGATATCAGTGATGGGTGCTGCCCTGATTTCAGAGAGATCCACTGACGCGTCACGTTCTAGATCGATTTCTCCAATTAAAACTCTTATAATAGTGACGCGTGATAGCATTAATTAATCAATTTATATACCATGATAGATTTTACAATGATTAATTAATCAAAAAATGTGTGAAAATATAAAATAAACCTTAAATTATTAAACATAAACTCACATATTATCCCCTCGTATTATATATAGTCCAAGTGGTAATGTTTCTACACCTTCTGTTTCAGAAAATACACGCTCATGACAACTGGAAAGAATCACATTTGTTGTTTGATCAAATCCTTTGAAGGTTCCCTGTTTCGGTTTTTTTAAATCATAATGAATAAACATTATATGACTTTTAAACACAAATAACGATATGAATTATAATAATACCACTATAACACGTCCATCAGATGTGATGACTTCAACTGTTACTGTATAACAAACGCATTTGCCGAAAAGTTAAAAGATATCCTTATAAACGATTATTATCAATTTTATATCGTATGGACTATAGGAATGAGTAAAAAGGATACGATCAACATATTTTTGCAATTCTGACATCTTTAAAGTGTGAACGGGGATCCGAAAAAATTCGAAAAAGATTAGATCACAATTAATCGCAATTATCATTGTAGATCACATTATAAAGCAACCCAATGGTACACGTGACAATTACCAATTATATAAATAGTAATTTAAAGTACACATTCTTTTGAAATTTTAAGATATTTTTATATTATCATGACATCAGTCTGCAAATAATTGCACATTCTAATTCCCGATAAATTTCACTAATGTCACGGATGTGTTGATTTGGATTCGTTAGACGTTAGAATTTGTAATAAACCTAACAGGTATAAATGGCACATCAGGTAACATCTCGTGACTTTACTAAGGTGATGTATAACAAAGCAGTAAAAAGTGATATTGACTAAAAAGCTCTATACGATTAGCCTTGCCAGTGATAATATGCTTGCAAACAATTTTGACCAAATTAAAATCTTTATACAGCATATTTTTATTAGGCTCACAAATTTAATTTTTATGCTGTGTCTAATCTAGAAACACGATCAGGCACCATTTTTTCTTTATCATAGAATGGAAGTTTACACACTATGTATAAAGTAGATTCTAATCGTTTATCCAACTATATAAATTTTTTATATAAAATATACAGTATTTATAATATGTACTGACCCAATTAGATTCGGATGCGGTATAGCAAATTTATTATATAAAGTCGGTATATCCAGTGTAAATAAATATAAGTTATTTGTTCTGAATCTCTTAGTTCGCTGTAGGTAGAGTTCGGTACACAGAGTCGACTGTATTTATCTTCGACCAGGTAAGAATCTTTTTGGGCCCCTAGATGAAAGATAGGGATATTAAAGAAAAAAAGGACAAATGGAAACGTATTCTTGGTTTCAATGTCGTCGATTACGTTTCCTGCTGTTTACACATTTCAGCGTCATTTACGGAGGAACGAGTAATATATAAAACCATGTGCCACGAAAAATTTGGATCAAATAAAGGACATTCAAAAAATCTCTCCCCAAGTCTCAATACCTTGAGAAGGTACTAACGTGTATAATAAATAGAGTTGTGAAACTATGCCTTACCTTTTTCCAGTTCGACCTCCACCTTTGATATTTTCATCATGATAATCCATGCTACCATATTGATCGATCGAACCGCTCATGATTTCCATATGATCTGCGTTCTTAGAGCTTGATTTAACTTCTTTTCGAAGACGTTCTACATCTTTCTCATATTCTTCCCTTTGTTTTTTGTTTTGAATAGCTGCATCACGAACCTGTATAATTTTGGCGTCGATGGCCGCCAAAATTTCTTCTGAAGTTTGAGACCTTATTTATTAAAGGTAATTTCTATAAATAATTGTCTATCTTTAACTAACATTTACAGTTATTTGATACTTACCAAGCACTTAAAACCCGTAACATTTGATCAATTTGTCCCGGTCGCAAATCTCTACCCATAGTATATTCTATCTCAAGTTGTTTCCTCTTTTGATCTAATTTACCCTTGATAACATCCTGATAGATCGCCTCTATAATTAGATCCTCAAGTTCACGTACATTGGGTATATCAAGATATTCCAAAAGGGTATCATAAGGAATAGTCTATTAGATAAAGATGTTATTAACTGAAATGCCTATTTGAGATGTCTATTTAAAATGTTTAACCAAAATGAATTAAATACTCTTGATTTTTCAGACAAAGAGACAATCGACAAATATTTTAATTTGTTGAGTTGAACTGGATCCAATGAAGGTAATTGTGAAACGCTTTCTGATAAAAGAGACAAAATCATTAGTAACATTGAATAAATAAATTTCGTTAATGGTATGAAACAAGTTATAGTTTAAATACCTTTATAATCTTTATATGTTCCATATGAGAATAGTTTTAGTAGCGTATAGTATGGTTGATATTGCTCGTTATGTTCAAGCTGAAAGTAACATAAAATAAAGATTTTATCCAAAATAATAATCAGACCATAATAGCTTGAATCGTTGCGTTAATGAAAGGTCGCTAGTTTGAGGAGTAACACGCACTTATGAAAACAACGTGTTTGATGGAAACAAGTAATATCCTAATACCTCAGCAACATTAGGCATAGTCAACAGTTCTGCGAATACGTAAACCCCCGGTGCCGCCAGAACGTCTTTAATCAGTTGAACACACGCTCCTCCTTTTGCCGACTTAGAAAGAAGAAGGTAAGGTTCTAAGCGTTGGCGAGCCGTAGAGCCCAAGATAGTTTCAGCCATTCTCGTTAAAAGACACTTGGTTATTTGCTTAGCAAATCTCAATTGTAATAAAAATTTGAATCTGACTCCAGGAGTCTAGACACTTTTGCAGTAACGTGACGTAACGCATGAGAAATGACCAATCGGGATGCGTAAATTTTGATTGTCCAACGTCAAAACAAAACACGTGTACATGAAGAAAAAGAGAGAAAAAAGCAAAAATACTCAAAAACTGATGTTTAAATCGGTCTTTAGGTGCTAACAAAAAATGTCGGAAACGTAATTTTATATATAAAAGTGATTTTTTCAAAATTTATAGTCAAAAAAAAGCTATTTGAATGTGTTTAGAAATTAGTGCAATATATTTATATTGTGGCTTCATTATAATTACGTCACAAAAATTTTAATGATTGATGGTAAATTTAATAACGATAATATTTTTTATTCAAGTTATTATGGACACGGGAACCTTCAGGGCTTCCTTACATAGGAGGTTACAGCTAGTTACACGTGCTTAATTATCTTCTTTTGTATCATCATCAAAATTCTATTTATATATAATTATGTGTAAAACATTAATAAAATTTTTAAAATTTATATATGGTAGAGTTAAGGCACATATTAAGGTTAGAGGTTAAAGTAATATATTATAAAATCACTTAAGAAAATTTTTTTTTTTTTTTTTTACTCTTAAGCAGTCACGCTGGTACTTTATTAAGATTCTTGCAACTATATACAATAACTACATAGAATTTTCCTAATAACTAAGTTCAGTATCACTCAGCTACCTTATTGGTACCTAAGTGTGACCTGTTGCACTACCTCAGTTAGAGGTAGACTGCTTATCTGGCTATTTAAAGTTATATCAGAAAGGATTTCTCTTTTTTGGAACAAGTATTAACTGTCTTCAATCCTTCTTTTAAATTTTTTCTTCTTTTTAAAAGGTCAAAAAAAAAGAGATATTATAAAATTGAATACAAATAAGAACATGATTAAAAAACCAAAAGTAAACAAACAAAACCCAAATCAAAACAAAGCAACAAAACAAACACATAATAGTAAGAAAAAGAAAAAACAAAAAGAGGGTCAAAGCTCTAACCAGAGCAAATTGTAAAAATTATATAGTATTACTAGTTCTAGTCTCTATTCTAGAAATAGGTCTATACTATATGTAAATATAATTTAATAATAGAAATATCAGTGTTTAATTTCTTCATCACTAGTTCTACAGTTGGTCTTTTCACTCTGCTTAGAATTACTCCTAATTCCAGAAAAGAGATAATTCTCTTATTTCCAAAATGAATAATTTTTGTAGATCTTTCATAAGAGGTATACTAAATTCCTACTTCTTGTAAAAACTTTCATCAAAAATCAAGTGAGGAATATGATAGTAGTGTTCAGTTAGCAGGTATCCTTGAATTTCTAATGAGTGTATTGAAAACTTGCTTATTGTTCTCTTATAAAGCTTACTATTTTAATTTTGTTAACAGAAACTGAGACTTCTACTAAAATTTGTTATATAAGGGTGTCTTCTGCCAGTTATCTTGTATATGCATGCTTTTAGTTTGCTTACTAAATATATAAAGAAGTTCAGTATAGAAGAACCACTTTGACTTTTATAAAAACCATTATTTTTTTTTTTTTTTTTTAGTTAAAGTCTCTATCTTGAGAGTTGTGATATTTTTATTCAAGTATATTAGAACATGGCATGTTACCAGGGACTCACCTTACATTGGAGGTTACAACTAGCCACATGTGCACTTTTGGTGTCTAATTTTTTTTTTTTTTTTTTTGATCTTTCTAATTATCTCTG